CCAATCTCAGGGACTCTGTCATAAGTGCCATGGCTTGACATCCCTAGCTTGCCCAAACAAGCCCTCATTTGGCCATGGCCCTACATACCTCATTTTTATAGGGTATGCTAATGCTAGGAGCGATTAAGAGCACTGCTCAATCGGTGTGCCTCTACTCGGTCACACCCACTTGGCGGTGGCAGCAGCATAGCTTGGCCTTTGGTGTGCCTGTTGCCCTTATCTAGTTACCTGCTTACCTGGGGTTACTATTACTACTATAATGGCTTCATTAGACATCATAAGCTGGGAGCAGGGTCTAGGAATCCACTACTAAGGATTTTTGGAGGATTGTGGATTGCAGGTTAGAATTGAGGCCTTGTTGAGTAGCTCCTTCTTGACCAATTTTAAAGAGAGAGGGACGTTGACCTAACACCTAACACCTCGAAAGAGATATCATATCTACCACCTACTCCATGCCATGATCTCTCCGAAGTGTCATACTAAACTCTCTAGCTCTCATGATACAAACTTCGAGGTCTGAATCATGGGGTGGATGCAATCATAGGCCAAATATGTTCGCTATGTCAGTCAAGGAGACTGACCACCTGGCCATAAGTGAGTTGGCTTCCAACAGTTTTGGAGCTTATATAAGAGAGTATCCATGGACGTAGAGAAACACACAAATCTATCATCTTCTGCTTCAGTGACAAAGGTCTCTCATTGCCACCCTTTCTCTCTCTAAGGCTGCTTTGGTTTTCTCTTATGCCTCAGACAATCCTTAGGCATTGAAGTTCCCACCATCTTCACAGAGGTCCACTATTGACCACCTCACTACCAAATACCTACAAATCGTAACCTTTTTCTTTATTTATGTCTTTATTATTACTAACCCAAATTGGAGACCACTTGGATTTCATTGGGAATTTTATTCTAAGATGTTCACTAATATGAATATGAACAAAGCTTGAACTAGGTGTACTCAAAAACATCTAAAATGACTAGGCTTTAACTGAACTTATGCATAGAAGAATAATCACAGCATACTTGGACCCACGATATTTACATGCATGTATGTATCTATGCAATGTGCAAACACTCATTAGCAGGGGTGCTCGCGAATTGGGTGGCCTTCCATCTGCCATCTGTCCAAACTTAGGCGGATTAGAAAAAATTAATACGCATCCGTCCGTTTAGTTAGCTAATGCGGATTGAGCAGGCCGTGTGGGTTGATGGGTGGATGCGGATCGATTTGGCAGTTTGGACTTTACTATTTTATGTTTTTTTAATAACTATTTTAGAGTAATTTTTTACTATTTTACGCCTTTGTTTGAGTCTAAAATTTTTATTCTTCATTTTTTATAATTTAAATAAAGGCCTATGTTATATGGACTCGGGTACGGGTGTCGGGTGCGGGTATGTATCTAGAGGTCGGACTCATCAAATCATAAATTTAAGGATACGCAGACTCGGCAAAAAAATGTCATATTTTTATATTTTTAATCTAATAGGTGAGATAAAATGGTATTATATTTAACTTATAGTGTCAAAATGACATTTTTATAATTTAAATAAAAGCCATAACTTTCATATTTCATAAATAGTTAATATTATTATTAAATAAAATGTCTTTTATCATTTTCTGAAGGAGGGTTGGCAAATCAGGTTGGGTCGGGTAGTCTTTCATCTGCCATCTGTCCAAACATAGACGGATTTGGAAAAATTTTGTCCGCCTATACCATCTAAACCGTTTAAAAGCGAGTGGATTGGGTCAGGTTGGGTTGGTTTTGGCAGATAGTCTGGGCCCGTGAGCACCCCTACTCATTAGTATGAAATTTTTATTATTCTAAGTTCTAAATATGCGATATTAAATTTCATCCAAGTGAACGTGAATTATGTACATTGATCCAAACATTTGGATTGGATTCCAAATCATTTATCCTCTTTGATCTCACTTCAAAATTGGTCCAAGTGTATAATATTGTTAATGCTTTTTCTAAAATAATTAATATGTTCTAGAAAGGCATTTTATCAATCTTGTTGAACACATCTTTCTGGAAGCATTCAGATATATGTTCAAAACTAAGGTGTGTGTTCTATTTATGGATACGTTTGGGTAGTATAAGCCTCATATCTAGGATATTCTCAAGTTTTCGTGCCTGCTATCGAGAAAAGATGTAGTGCATCACAGCTTTAAGAAACTTAAGTCAAGGCTGCTTGTGGTTGGTGTCTGGGTGGCTTCCTAAGTTATGATCCTATAATGTGGAAGCAACAATTGAGGTTTTGGGGATTTGAAAGGACTTGTAACTTGCTAGGATTTAAAAGTTCCTGTGTGCTGGATTTTGTAAACAGTGTGCTAAAATTCTTAAAACAGTGGCTAATTTTGGGGGCTCTGGTGTAGAATTTAAGGCCAAAGGGAGGGGAAGTATTTAGGTTGGTTAGAACTTGTTTGGAAAAGCTTTAGCGGCAGAAATTGATACTATTTTTATTTTTATTTTTGGGTAAGTAGGCACTTTACTTCTCAACTTCTACCTGTTTCTAATTTTCTTTAATGGCACATATGATCTTAAACAATTCGTCCAGCTTAGTCCCCGTTGGATGAGGGTCTAGGAGGGGGAGATTGAGTATAGACTTAGGGTGTGTTTGGTTTGTGTTTGTAGAGTAATTTTTTAGATAAAAAGTACGAAAATTTGTTTAGTTTGCTTTTTTTTAGAAATGGTTTTGGAAAATTGTTTTGGGAAGAGAGTTTTAAAAAAAGTGATTGATTTGATGTGTATGAGAGAGATAGTGATTTTGGAAAGTAGGTAACCAAACAAAATTTTGAGATTTTTTTTGAAAAAATTTGTTTGGTTTGATTACTCTTAAAAATTTGTTTGTAGAGAATTTTTCCCAAATTTTTTTCTGAGAAACAAACCAAACAAGGCCTTAATCTTTGGCATTATTTGCACAAACTGGTGGCCCTTAAGTTCAAACCCACAACTTCGGGGTTGATAGGCTGAGTTTTTACTAGTGAATCTGTGTCCCCTTGTGCATATAATCTTAAGGTTTTAAAAAGCGGTTACAACCGTTACGTAATACTGTTACCTAACGGTTGTGATGGTTATCGCTACCCGTTACGACCGCTATAGCAGTGTGATGTAAATTCGCATGTGTAACGGCCGTTTTGGTGTTAAGTAATGGCCGTAACGGTACGTTGCACATTTTTACAATAGCCTGAATAGATTCATTTTCAAAAAAAAAAAAGACAAAAACTTATATAAAAAAGAAAAAACAAATATTCAAGTGATCCAAGCCCAAATAAAGTATCTTATATAATTTTTTTTTCTTTATAATTTATTTTTTAATTTTTATTTCATTACATGAGCATGTAAAATAAAAAATATATAAACAATAGTTGTATTTGTTTTTATAATCATTTTATTTAATATTTAATTGTAAATATTTTTTTATTTTGTTACTGTAATGTGTTGCTTAAAAAATGTCTTCAAAAAAATAATAATAAAATTAGTAGCTCAAAAATAACTTTTGTTAATGGCACAATTTTTATTTTTATAATCATTTCATTTAATACTTAATTGTAAATAATTTTATTTAGTTAGCTATAAAGCGTTGTCTAAAAAAATGCCTCAAAATAATTATTGTTTATGGCTTAATTTTTATTTTTATAATTATTTCATTTAATAATTGTGAATATGTTTTATTCAGTTAGTTTAGGTATTGGCCAAAAATAATTTGTAAACATTTAAAATCAATTATTCTTAAAATCATTAACTCTTGAAATAAAATGTAAAAAGCTCATTTTATAGTGATTTAAAAATATGAAATATATTGGATCATACTTAAAAATTAACAAAAATTGATCAAAATCTATTTCAAACCTTAATAAATGTGATTATGAAGAAAAACAATATATGGGTATCGGTAAGTTTTTTTCAAATTGTGTGAAAAAAAAAAAAAAAAAAAAAAAAAAATTGTATTTGAAGGTGACATTACAAATTTGGTTGAAAGTTCACAAATTGATAAATGAGTTAATTTTTTTGGTCCACTTTAGGCTTGAATTACTTGAGTATTTGTTTTTTTTTTTTTTGTAAGCTTTTGGTTTTTTTTTTTTTTTTTGAAAATGAAGCTATTTAGAATATTGTAAAAGTGTGTAATGGACTGTTACGGCCATTATGGTACCGCTACAACTATTACATAACACCGAAACAACAATTACACGTGTGAATTTCCGTCACACCACTATAGCGGCCGAAACAGGTGGCGGTAACCACCACAACCGTTACATAACAGTGTTACGTAATTGTGGCAACTGCTTTTTAAAACCTTAGTAAATCCCAAGGGGTTGGCCTAGCGAGTGCAACTTGGGGCTTGGGGGTGTACTCTCTCCAGGTCTCAGGTTCAACTCCCACTAGGTACTATCAACTCTTTGGGCCACGTCCGTTGGTTTTGTCCAAGATTGCTTGATCCACGTGGAGGGGGCACTTTGCATAAGTCCCGGGATTGGTCGAGGTGCGCGTAAGTTGGCCCAGACATCCGTTCATCAAGAAAAGAAAAAGAAAGAAAATGACATGTATTAATCTCTTACTTTCAGATTATCACTGTCCAGAATACTGGTATTATTATTATTATTGCGAGAAGTTTACAGCTAGTTCCTTATGCATCAAAAAAGAGATAAGAATGAAGAACCACTTAGAGACCTGAGGAGGGGTCTTACTGCATTGCACCATAACTCAGTAGAATAATGTTACTCGAAGGTTGATGTTAAAATCCTATGGATATTTACTCTATCACCTGCCTGAGTAACCATGAAGATTTTACAGGATATACAATATAGCTTCAAGTTCCTCCTGCATCTGCAGTCTTTGTAACTACACATTTGTCCCCATCATCTGAATAAAATTTTTGCTACTTTTTTGGTCTTTAACCTATTACTGTGACTTTACCTTGAACGTAGATTGCTAGTCTTTCTGTCAGCAAAAGTGCTGAACTTGTTTAATTTAGGTTTTGGCTGATCTTTACAACAGGCCATTACTGCTCTCAAGAAAGGGGCATATTTGCTTAAGTATGGAAGAAGGGGGAAGCCTAAGTTTTGTCCGTTCCGACTGGCAAATGTAAGTTTGTTTGATGTTTCTAGATATCAATGTGCCTTTCGTACTTCTGTTCATTTATTTGACCACCACCACAATCAACTGCAGCAAGAACAATCCTACTAATAAATGTATATTATTTTATGTTGCTGCTACTGCTTTTGCATTTCATGTAATGATAACCTGGAATTTTTAATTTATTATTATGTTATTTTTAAGTTCTAGAATCTGTGGTTGATATATCATTATTTATGTCCATACTCCTATTATAGTGACCTAAAGATTAGTTATGCCTTTATGCAACTATTTGTCAGTTACCTTTCAAAAGGTCAGAGTATTGCTGTGAATGCATGCAGGATACTATAGTCCAAAATTCAGTAGCTTGTTTCTTAACCAGCAATGGCAACTATTATACCCATAAATGTTTGTGATCTTGCTAACATCTGAATGTTGACTGGAACCGAGGACCATTTCTTATAATTATTCTGTTTTTGATAATTTATATTAAGACGCTTTTTTTGCACAGTACTATTTGGTTGAAATCTTGCTTATGAACACGCCCAAAATGTAGGCAAAAACAAAAAAATGGTGGTGATATGTTTAAAATTCAGTGGCTTTTATGTTAACTGGTTGTTGTGCAGGTTAATTATAACTACTCAACCGGTTTATGTTGGCAATTTTGCTTATTCATTGTTACTGGGATAGGAATAAATCTTCATGTTGATTGGTGGTTGTAACTCTTAACCCCCGTAGTGAATTACCTTCTGTAGCTGTTTTGTACACCACATTTCTCTGGTTGGCAATCACATTCTATCATGCCAAATATAATATTTATGCTCACAAATCATGTGAACCTTTTGTGCTTTCACTCCCACCATTTAACACCTTATTTCCTTGCCTAATTGCAAAATAGGTTGTTGAATCACTCCCCCTAAACTATAAGCTGGAAGCAAACTGGCTTGTCAGAAAATTGAATGCGAATGCTTGATGAATTGTGTTGTTTTATTTTCATTGACTTTATGTAATACAGGATACACATATTTCCTCCTATATATAATTGTCTTATGTATATGCTTATTTTATATTCATTTTCAAATTATTTTAATACTCAAATCACCTGCCATTAGTTGTGTTATTGTCAAACAATAGCTTCCTTGATTTGTATTTCACTGAAAGTAGAGTTTCACTGCTAAAATTATTTAAAACCTGTGGTGTTATTGCTTTCAGGATGAATCTGTACTAATTTGGTTCTCAGGGGAAGAGGAGAAACACCTCAAACTAAGGCACGTGTCTAAAATCATTTCAGGGCAGCGCACTGTAAGTTTCTTGCTGTGACGACAATATCATTGTATAACTACTCTGTCTACACTTTAAAGCTTATGAAGGAATGGTAAATATTCATTGATGTCGAAGTCTACAGTGGGGCTGAGTAGAGTGTTAGATTGCCGAAGTTTTACATAATCCTCATCTTATTGCAGCATCCATAAGAAATCAATGGCATACCTATTTTTCCACCGTTCTGCCCTAACTAACGTAATTTGGTACCCTTGAGTTCTTTTACTCCATGCAGGATCTGTTTGTTTTTTGCACCATTGTAATTGATAATGGTTTTTGTGTGCTTGGTTAAGTTGTGATAATGTAATCATCGCAGTTCTACAGTGCTTGATCTTCCAGATCTCGTCCTCAGCTTGCTAGATTTTCCTCCATGGAGTCCTTCAAGCGAGTGGAAAGTCGGTCTTCCAAGAAAAACAAGAAACCAGAATTCAACAGTAGTCGTGTGTCACCTATTCCAAATGGGAATTCACAATGGGGGGATTTTAATGTCTCTAAATCATTTAATCCAATGTTTGGCTCGTCCAAGAAGTTTTTCTCAGCTTCTGTACTTGGGTCCAGAATTGTTTCTTGGGCAACATCGCTAATATCAAGACGATCGAGCCCACCTCGTTCCACGACACCAACACCTACTCTTGGTGGACTTACCTCTCTGAAAATTGTTGTGGATGATGCTAAGAGAATATATGATAGCCTTAGCCAAGAAGTTACTAGGTTAAGACAACAGGTACTAGTATTATCTTGCTTGACAGTCATCTGCTTCTGTAATTCGTTGGGAATGTTTCTTTCAATTTGAAGTTTGATGAAGCAATGGGAATAGTGGTGTACTAATATGTGGAAAAGGTGAAGGAGCGGTGCCTAATAATCCATAGAAGCTAAAGTTTTTTTTATAAATGCCTTTCTTTTCTTGGGATGACTGACATTATGGGAACGGTTAGGATATTGGTGTCCACATCTTTTCTCTGGGTTTGTTTGTGCATGCAAGCGAGTGAATATATACACATATTCTGGTGAATATATGTGGTGATACATGGTACATAATCCAAAGTTTGTGTTGTAGGAGCTGGTCTATGAAGTTCTAAAACCATACCATTTGAACTAGTTGTGTTTCCAGGTCCAAGGCCAGTTTTTGTTCATTGTGCAAAAACCCAGCTAATCACTATGGAAGCTGGTCAATGAAGTTCAAGAGTTAAACGCAAACCTTTTGAACTTTAATTTGTCCTCTTTTTTTTGTTTTGTTCTGTTTATTTTTTAGCTTCTTTTGTTTACTTTGGCAAGGGGCATAGCTATTTCTCCAGCCAAATCTTCTGTAAGTTTAAATGTTGTTTCTCTAAAGAGAATTTCCTTGTAGTTAATGATATAAAATTTAGGATTAAAAAGGTGGAGTTTACTTCCAATATAATAATATGAGTTGTTATTTGGTTAGAGAACTAGTCAAAAAGATTCTCTGACGTATAGAAGATGTGATTTGTCTGTTGACAAACAAGAGTCTCCTTTTCCCATAATTTATCACTCAGTTTCAAACAATGTTGGTGTTCTTTTGTGTCGTCTGACCAATCTTTACCTTAGGTGGAAAATCTTACCCTGAAAGCTCAACTTCAAGAAGTAGAGTTGGAAACCGTAAAGGAAGTGATCAAGTCACTTACTGCTGGTAACCGCAGTTCAGGCCAAAGCAGACAAGGCCAGTCAAAAACAACAACCAGAAATGGTGGCAGAACTAAAGAAGGTGATTCTCGTAATGACAATGAATGGGTTGTGCAAGACAAGCCAGGTGTTTATATCACGCACACCTCCTTACCTGGCGGTGTTATAGATCTTAAGCGAGTACGGTTCAGGTATGTTTGTATCTATTCTTCTCCAAATATCATTTTAATCAAACCCAGCTTCTTGTACTTGAAATACCTACTAGAATCTTTTGCAACTGCTACACAGATATTTTTCTATGCAAAAAGATAGAATTGAGGTAAACTAGTGATGATATAAATTTAATTTAACCCAGGGATTTATTATGTGACTTGAATTATTAGGAGACCAATTGGCGTAGTCATTGAAATGGATATGGTGATTTATGGAGTTGGATTTTCTTGAGTTCAACAAAAGTTTCTTGTGTACAAACCATATTTTGCCACGTCTTTTTTATTCTGACAATATTCAAGAGTTGATAGAGCCACAAGAATAGCATAAAGTTACACTGTTTTCCTTTGTTGCACAGCATATTGGAAGTTAAACCTCATAGTTATTGGTTGTTAATGATAACTTCATTTTGGGGTCAGTTTGGTAACGTTTCTTAATTATGTTTTTCTGGTTTTGTTTTCAAAAATTTTGAGTACTGTTAATGAAAACAGCGTTGGCCATTCCTACTCTGGCAACTCCCCTCTGGTCATTCCATCCGCAACCCCCTCTTGCAACTCACACAATATGTTTTCTTGTTTTTGTTTTGGAAATGTGTACCAAATATGTTTTTTTTTTTTTATAAAATTTTTATAAAAATATAAAATAAAATAAATAAATAACACGATTCCTTGCTTTGGAAATAAAAAAACAGAAAACTAGCAATGATATCAAATAGTACAATATTTTGGTAAAAGAAGTTTGATAAGATATTCATTTTAACATGGCCTATAACTGTTTGGATGCAGTCGGAGGCGGTTTAGTGAGACACAAGCGGAACAATGGTGGGCGGAGAACCGGGCAAGAGTATACAAACAGTACAACGTGTGCGAGGTTGACAAGTCAAGTGTGGGTGTTGGGAGTGAGGACTGTGGACATTGACTGACGTGGAAATGTTCATATGCAAAATCAAAAAGTATTATCTTTTAAAAAAATTTGATCTAAATTCATGGTTGAGGAAGGTCTTATTGATCCATTAGTTTGGCTATCATGTTATCAAGGGTTGAGGAAAGGTTTGCTATAAAGTGAGAAGTGGAGTGGTTTGATTGGGTTTTCTTTTATATTTCGCCGCTTAAATTTCTATTTTGCATTTTAATTTTTTTTTCCTGAAAATGTGTACTTTGTGTGGGGGAATTGAGGGTGAGAAATGTATTTGGGAATCATGACATAGTTTAACTTGTTTTACTACTGTGGTGCCCAACCACCACTCCCAAATGCTGCCACCGAAGGAGTTCTTAAAACTCATGTATTTGGTCTCCTATAAGTTTGTTATCTTTCGTTTTATATCTATTAAAATTGGAGACAATATGAGCATCTACAGGTGGTTGAGTGATACATATCATACAAATAGTCAAACAAAACACAAAGTATCGTGTTATAGCAACGAAATTTAATTTGTTCGGGTGACACAACTAAAACCCAACAAAATCTTGGTCTTCTATGGCAGACACAAGATCCAAAAGACCCAATAGAGTCAATTAATATTTTGTTTGTTTTTGTTGTCTTTCAAAATTTAGGCCACTGAATTTCTCAGGTTTCACACTAGTAGCTTCTTCTAAATTAGTCATTTTAAATATTTAAAGAACAAGAGAGAAGAAGAGTATATTAATTTACAACAAATAACAATTAAACAAATAATAATATTATTATAAGTGTAAATTTAATTACTAATAATTTAAGGATAGATATGCTGGTAAAATGTGACAGTATTTGATACAAATTAAATTTGAACAAAATAATTTATTACATGAACAATGCTTGTTAAATATCATAAATTGTATGAAGTGCTCTATACTTAAGAAAACATAAGATAACTGTACATTTTAAAACAATATAATATTTATTATGTGAAATTTTGAATTTTACTCTACAATTTTCCTAAGAATAATTAATATAGAATAAAAGTACACAGAACAAACAAGTGTTACCTCTCAGAACTTATCTAATAGAATCAATATACAAGTCAACAAGATTAAATAGATTTGTGCAATGCAAATTTACTATTCGATGTTACTGAATTGACGGAGAAGATAAATTTTTAAATTATTATTTTTTAACATTTTTGTTCAAGATCAACAAATTAAATTGTAAAATACAAATAATGAAAAGATTAAATATTTTATAGAAATAATGACTTTAGATTGTTGTGGGAATTGAACAATAATTTTTCTAAATTAATTTTGCAGAATAATGATATTAAATAAAACAGAATCTGAAAATAGATATGATACAATTTGATAAAATTATATTATATATATATATATATATAACAGAATACTGAAGAAGAAGAAGAAGGAGGTTCATAAAATAACATGTGTAATTGTAAGAGACACGTCAAAGACACTGTCCTAAAGTCGTTATGTGCTCCCTCTCGTGCCGGTTTTAACGATCACAAACAACTCCAAGATATAACCCAAAAATTTACAAGGATCTGACATAATACACAGTTGCACCAAATGGATTTGCCATGTCTGGATCGTTGTCCAGAAATATAAAATATAGAAAATATAATAAAGAGAGGAGAGAGAAATCAAATCAAAATATATTGTGTATTTTTTGCCTGAGTTAGAGTCCTGTATGGAAAGACACTTTCATGTCTGTTAGGGAACAAACACACCCATTGCTTTTGAATTCAAACACTATTTGAATTATAAATAGAGATTATTTCATTTTTATCCATATACTTTGTCACGATTTTCAATGACCCCCTAGACTACTCTTATTTTCATGCGTACCCCTATGCTATTTAAGTTACTATCAATTTTGCCCCTGCTGTCATATTTGAAACGAAAAAAGTTTTAAAAAAATACATTTTGGCCCCAAATTTCAAAATAAATATGCAAATCCACCATTTCCTACCAACAAATCACCACCAGTAACTACCACTTCAAGCCATTTTATCTCTTTCATCATAACTCCGTTTTGCCTCATTTTTACATTGTTGGATTCAACTCACGGTATAGTTTTCATATCACATCTCATACATCTCGTTCTTCCTCTTTTTGCATGCTATCGAAGCTCCAAAAGTTAATAAAAAAATAAGGTTTTTCTTTTCATTTTTGAATTTTTTTCGAGCCATCTTTCGGACTTCATATCTTTCTCGATTCTTGACGGTTCTACTTCATTCTTTTGCTATTCTCTTCACCTCGCTTTCTCACTTCTTCATGTAAGGAATGGTTTTTGTATGCCGAAAATTGTTTGAAAACTAATTTTGAAAATTTCAAAACATTCATCATTTGCTTTATTCTCCAGCTTCCTCATTCTTCTTCTTCTTCTTCACTTATAACATGATGTGGAGCATAGTTCTAAGTGGTAGCAGAACTGGTAATAATGGTGGTGGCAGTCCGGCGATGGCGATGGGTTTGGTGTTGTAAGGTGGCGGTGGTGGTAATGTTCATGGTGGCAGTAATGAAACTTGGTTGTGAAAAATGTGGGTTTGGTGTTGTAAGGTGGTGGTGATAATAATGATCATGGTGGCGGTAATAGAGTTCAGTGGCGGTGAAGTTGGTGGTTCAGGTGGTGATGTTAGTGAAGTTGATAAAGTTGATGAAATTGATGAAGAGATATATATCATCTTTCTATTTACATGCCTATCAAGAATCTATCTCCAGATACAGCAGAAAACAAGTTGATCGCTTGATCACTTTCAAACCCATTTTCATTTATCTTGATTTTTTCACTGTTCTTTTTTACTAGTTATCGGAACATAATTTACTGATTTGGGTATGATTTTGTTACTAACAATTATAAACTTATGAGGACTACTCAGTTTCATGGTAAAAATTGGGACAGCTTTTTGAATTTGAAGTTGGGGTTTACAGTTTGAAGTAGAATTCATGGCGAAAAATTCAAGATTTCTCTTATTATCTAAGGGATAGTTTTTGGCATGGCGTGTATGTCGGTGGTGCTTTACATTGGGTTGTGAGTCGAAACTATGAATCAGATAGTGTTAATATTTTGGTGGCTGCATTTGATCTTACTAATGAGGAGTATCGATTAGTACCACAGCTGGAGTTTTCTGATGAGGATTTCTATATTTGTATAAGGGAGTTGGATGGGTGTCTATACATATTCTGCAACTATGACCAAGTCCGGGTTGATGTGTTGGTAATGACCAATCATTATCCAAACCACCAACTTCACCTCCACCGAACTATATTACCGCCACCACCGCCATCACCATCACCAGTTCCGTTACCGCCGAGAACCATATTCCACATCATGTTATAAGTGAAGAAAAAGAAGAAGAAGAATGAGGAAGATGGAGAAGAAAACAAATGATGAATGTTTTGAAATTTTCGAAATTAGTTTTCGTATAGCTTTCGGCATACCAAAACCATCCATTACATGAAGAAGTGAGAAATGGAGATAGTGCAGGGCGAAGTAGGAAGTGAGATGAAGAGAATAGCGGAAGAATGAAGTAGAATCGTCAAGAATTGAGAAAGTATAAAGTCCGAAAGATGGCTCGAAGAAAAGTCAAAAATGAGAAGAAAAATCTTTTTTTTTTTTTCAACTTTCGGAGCTTCGATTACATGCAAAAAAGAGGAAGAACGAGATGTATGAGATGTGATACGAAAACAAGACCGTGAGTTGAATCCAATGACGTTAAAATGAGGCGAAACGGAGTTATGAGGAAGGAGATAGAAGAGCTTAAAGTGGTGGTTGCTGGTGGTGGTTTTCTAGTAGGAAATGTTGGGTTTGCATCTTTATTTTAAAATTTGGAGCCAAAATATAATTTTTTTAACTTTTTTCGTTTCAAATCTGATGGCAGGGGAAAAATTGATAGTAACTTAAATAGTATAGGGGTACGCGTGAAAATAAGAGTAGTCTGGGTGGGTCATTGAAAATCGTAACAAAGTATGGGAGTAAAAATGAAATAATCTCTTATAAATAAATATGATTGTTTGAAAAAGAAATAAACAAATAAATAAATACAAATAATAAAATAAAATAAAATAATAAATAAATACAAATAAAGTTTTGAAGTTTTTAAGAAATTTCCAACAACATCATCTTTCTACTACTTTCTACCACTTCAAACCCTGTATCCATTCTCTGGCCACCACATCACATACAATGTCCTCATTTCTATTGCTTTCACACCGGAAGCTCATTTCCCCCTACATGCTCATTTTTCCTCTGCTATTTCCCACTTGTGCACCACCTCAACCCCCTTATTCCTACCTACACATCACCCTAGTCCCTTCGTTCTCTTCTCGATGCCTTCCACCACTATCTCTTCCATAATTTAACACCTTCACCTGCTTCCCTCCCCACACTGCCACCCATCTCATTACCTACAAAACCCTAGCTACTACCCCCTTTCTCTCACTTGCAAAAGCTTTACCCTAGGCTACCACTCTCTCTAACAACCATGAACCCGAAATTTGTGTATGTATGAGCTTTGTTTCACTTGCAAAAGCTTTACCCTAGGCTACCACTCTCTCTAACAACCATGAACCCTAAATTTGTGTGTGTATGTGTGTGTGTGTGTGTGTGAGAGAGAGAGAGAGAGAGAGAGAGATGGTGATTTGTAAATGAAAGAAAATGAAAAATAATATTTTCTCTTGGTCCTAATCACTTATTTTGATTACTAAAGATAAGAGAAATGTGAGGAAAAGGAAAGAAATTGATTTCTCTTAACGTTCATTTTTTGAATCTCTCCAAAAGTGAAGAGATTGGGAGAAAAAAAAAGTAATAAATGATTACTAACATTGTATAATATTAAAATTGTCCATCTAGGTACTAAAAAAAAATATATATATATATATATATAGCGGTTGTATTGGTAATATAACCTGTGATAATTTTTTCTATTTTCTTTGATGTATCCAAATAAGATGGACAAATAATCACTATTTTTTCTTTTCCTTTTTTCTCTTCAGTTTAATTAAACAAAAATGAGTGAGAATAATATCTTTTCACTTCTTTTCTTTTCTCTCAAAAATTCCTAAACAAACTGTAAATCCAAAATCAACTTGTAAAATATTCAAAAAGAAATTACACTTTTAAATATGCCAATCTAAAAGCACCCAACCTTTGCTAAAAGAAATCTTACAACATGGATAGGGAGTTCTCAACAACATGGCATGTGTATGATTAGAATCACTAGTCTGTTACAATGACACACTTCAAAAAGATGATAGCATCCCTAATGAGGACCACATTTTTACACTGATATCTATCATGTAAAAAAGTTGGGAAGTGTATGATGGTTTTATGACATTCTTACTCCAACCAATATTAGCACATACATTGAATCTAAAAATCTCTCCTTTTGGGGTAG